CAAGCAATGATCTTATCATAATCCTTCAAAAGTCTAATTACTATGTTTATGTCTCATATTCACGTCTATCCAACAAGAGAGACTTACTCTTAAAATTAGTAAAAATTTTCCTAGTCTTCCACTGTATAGGTATTTCCTCAATATTAAAAAAAACAAACCATCATTTTGCTCTAACTCCAAATCATGTGTGATATATATTTTTTTCAAAAAAATCTTGTACAATGTCCAACTAAATAAACATCCATAAAACTTCCATAGCACTTTAGATTTCTTCTAATAAATCATCGTTTCAATCCTTTTCAAATCCACAGGATTTATATATGTATGACATCAAAATTCACCTAATATATAATCTCAATTCTATGCACACAAATGACCTTGTTCTCTTTGTTCCAAGATATTAAAACTCTTTTATTCCATAATACTAGAATTATAACATAGAAATTTAATAATCATAACTCCAATACCAATGCAAAATCCGATGTCCTCAATGCTAATTCCAATTTTACTATCAATTGAGGAAAGTTAAAACCTCATAATCACTCAAAAAGAAGAATACCCATATGATAATTTCTTACAAATTAAATCCTCAAGAATTTGTTTAATCTTTTAATGACAAAACATCCTTCCTTACCAACCATCACCCTTTTAAAGGAAATTAGTTATTAACATCATTTGCTTAGACCACTAAACAAATCCATAAGTTTCCCTATTCAAACCTTGGATGACTATGGGTATCTTCACAATATAGCGTGAGACCAACATAACACTTCTACAAAATATACTTCCATTATAAATCCATATCTTTCATCTTTAACCTAAAACATTCTTGTAGAAGAACCATCAAATATAAGACAATTCGTATGGGTAATACTCTCCCCAAAATTAACCATTACAACCCATGATAAGAATATATTAATATCATAAATAAACTCCTTCACACAAAGATAATCCACTAGAATCAATAAATTAATTTACCCCTCATCACTAAAATGATTAAAAGAAACACAAGCTTTAATATCTTACATATTTCTCTTTTAATGCTGAATGCATTTAAGTTTTTAAACTTCTAAGTACAACACCTTGATTAGCATTTCCCAAAGGACAATTGTTATAATTGCTAATATTAACCATCTCACATCCCCAAACTCCATTGTATATGTACTTTATAGTACACTATGGTACATCTCCTCAAGACTGCTCCTTACCTTTCTCAAATCTCATAACCATTCATCATAATTTAAACCATTCTTAAACTACAAAGACACCTACTATCGTAATAAATTTAAGATTCTAGTTGTACTTCCTTACCTTGAATCTACTTAATTCAACATATTCTTATGAAATAAAATCACCTTCTCCTTTATCAATAAGGAAACACATTTGGGTAAAATTTTAAACCAACCTCATTGATAAGTTCTATGTTCCTAGTCCATTCTCCAATTATTCAATCATTCTCATACCTTTCTCTCCAATAAATTCATAACATAACCTCTTTTTTTTTTTTTTTTCCAATAGCTATGAACCACCCAAACTTAGACATATAGTCTAAACTTACAAAACGTAAAGGCAACACCAGAAACCATTCCAATTCCATGTCTAAGATGTTCAAATCATGTAATTATAATTAACTAAACTCAATTGTTTACAAATCCATCAATGAAACATTTTATATCCTAAAATCATACTCCCACTAGCACAACCCCTCAATTAAATTCAACGAAATCCATCTCCTCATAAGCCAATCTAGTTGATTAAATCGTCTTAGACTGATATCAAAAGGTTGAAATTATTCTCTATAATAATTTTTGTTTCTCCAAACATCATAAAAATCTTGCTAACGATGTCCACATTCTAACAACATTAGAATAGTAAATAAATCCAAAATAACTTAAAATAATAATAATAACAATAACTTATATAGACTCCAAATCTTCATTTGATTCCAACTAGTCTCCCAATATCAACCCAAAAATCACTATTAAAATAATACCAGATTTCAATTTCACCAAAACCATATCCACTTTAGCCTAGAAAAGTTCAAGTAATTGAAAAACTCCAATCTTCTCATTCAACTCCAATTCTTGATGGAAATGTAGAAAGGTCAATGATATAATTCTATGCTTTTATATATATACATAAAAGGAAACAAGGTTTGGAGGGATTACTTTAATTAAAAGCTAAAGAATTAAGACCCCTTTAACAAACTCTCAGTTCGCTTTCTATTTAAGTCAAATTGCAACTTTCCATATTGTGTATAAAACTGTCTTTAAGTAATCTACATTCAAGCAATCTACATCATTCTTAATATTCAACCAAGTTGCAATATAGACAATTTTACAGGAGTGGACTTCCAATACCACCAAATAACTAAATTCTCATTTATTAGGAATAAAAAATTCACTATCTTCCAATGGTAATTCTAATTAGCATAAGCTCCACAAATCAAGTCTATAACCAAGATGACGGTGAAGTAATGAATAGCAAGGATGAAGAATTTCAAGAGGAGTATCATCTCACATATACTCGTTTAGTCACTTAACCCTAATAGGGGTGCCAACACATAATCTATATTCTAAATGATCAAGAAGTTAATGAAAACACATGCAAGGCTAATGATGCATTGATGTCCCATTACTATAAAGAACCCCACTCTTGCTCACCACGTGTCTAGGCTTACAACCCTAAACCTGGCCCAAAAGATTTCAACCTAAACTCTGATACCACAAATTTGTCATGCCCCAACTCATAGGTTTGGGCATAACAAACGCCACACATTTATAGGTTAACCCCATAAACGTGTAAGGCCATCTTCCTTCATACCAATACAATCTCCCATAAAATTCTAATGTAGCCTTGCAACTTTAAGATAAACAATTCCATTAACAAATCTTAATAGTCTCAAAATAACAAAATCAAATCTCTTAACCACAATATAAAGTGTTTAACATTTTATTCCATAAAACCAAATAAACTTCCAATTGAGCTATTGCTAAATTTTGCCAATTTATTCTAACGATTTCTCAATCCCCATGCAAAACCCAATGCTCATACTTCATAACCTGAAATGAGATGAAATTTAAAAACGTGAGTTTAAGAACTCTTTAAGTAGTATACATATTCATCACAACCAAGCATAAAACTTTAAAACTGAATTTTTATTTGAAACGAAACGATAAAAGAAATACAAATCTTTCCTCGAAACCAAAATATTTCATTATTCGCCCCTTATGGCTGTACAACAATCCACAATCCAAAATCCACGATCAATGATAGTCAATCATCAATCCACAATCCACAATACACGATCCACAATCCACACTACACGGTCCACAATCCACAATCCACAATCCACAATCCATAGATCCCAGATCTATCACAATACCAACAACTCAACCCTCACAAGGGTGAATCATCCAGCCAAGACAAATAAAAGAAACCGTTCCGAAAATAACAATTTCAATAATAATGGAGAAAAAATATTTAAATTAGCCACCTCCACATGGCTCCAATCTCATCTCAAATTTAAATAAAAATATTATACTTGATCCACAAATCATCTCATTCCATCATTAAAAGTATTTAGTAAAAATTATTCTCTAAGATATAGAAAAATAAATAATCAAATAGATAAATAAATCAAATATGGACAAAATCCATTTAAATATATTGATTTATTTTAAAAAAAACACTGGAGGATATAACTACTTACCTCAATAATTATCTCTTAAAATGCGATTCCACATAGTTAGTCGAAACCTAAATAATCATCAAAATAGACATAATTCAATCACTATGTAAAAGTTTATCCTGTATTTATCAAACACCTACTATAATTCTATAACTCATACCATTGTCGTCCTCTTCCTCAAATCCAACCATTCCAATACACACAATTAGAAACTAACCACCTTAATAAATAGTTTCCCTCTTGAAAATTCCTCACACCACCACCCAATTTCACAATTTTATTATTAATACCAAAATCCATTTGTTATAGTAAAATCAATCTCCACACCATGCTTCTACCCAT